CAGGTTTCTGTGAAGGGCTTGTCATGACTGAGAGGGTACACAGTGCCCGGAAAATAATCCGGCTGCTGATTGCCGCCAACGCCCTGGTTCCTTAGGAGCCCGGTTGCCCCTCAGCGTGATTTGTTTGCTGGGCCTCTCCTTTAAGTGCTTTTATCGAGTTTTAGCTATGCAGCTGAATTTTCTTTCCAGCCCCTGTAAGACTGCGTCTCACGGACTGTTTCCTCCCCAGGTAACGTTGTAGATAGCCAGTCCCCCAGGCTATTGGCAAATCAGCTAAGATGGGACCTGACTGCCGAACAGATAGAAAACATGGCTGCAGAGCTCACGGAGAGGACCAAGCTTGTGTACGACCGGGTGGGCTCTCAGGAGCAGGGCGAGGTGTCCTATGAAAACACTCTCAAGGCACTGGCTGATGTGGAAGTGGAATATACGGGTATGTACACCGACAGGGAGTACGGGCTTTCTGGAAGATTTTTCTGGTGGTTTTTTTGCTCTGCACTGTCATCTCCTTTTTTCTTCCCTTGGCTCCCTCAGCAGTACGTTTGTTTTTTTCCAGTTAACGTTTATACAGCTAGATATAAGTACAAAGAGTAGAGTAGATTTGGAACAGAAGAGCGAGTCTAAAATGAGGACGGCGCTTTGGCAGCAGGATGGTCTGCGGGAGGAGTAGCCAGGTTTTCAAGGTTGTCTCCTGCTTTTATGTGTCAGGGTGCATTAGTGGGAACAAATTGTGCATTAGCAGAAATGATTGGGTGATCTAAGAAATCTTCAGCTCTTTTCTAACTTCTTCCCTAAGGCAGTGGATAAATGTCTCTCCGTGTGCCTTGTTTAAACACTGCTGTCGTTTTAAGGATTATGTGTAAAGTAACATGACATGATGGCATCGTGCTGGCAAACGGTGCAGGCTTTGATATGTCTCTGGCTAATTATTTACAGCAGTAGAGTGCCAAAGTCACGCAGCCGCCCTCCTGCCTCACGGCATCTGTTAGCTGGCCTGACCGCCTATGTTGTGAGGTGTCACGTCTGTATGAAGCAGAAGCCAGCCTGCAAGCCTCTTCTTTCTTCTCTCTGATTTCTTTTTCCTAAAATGGGAGGAAAAGCCCTTACTAAGCAGGGGTAATGTTAAGTTCAGGAGAACTGTCAGCACTTTCCCTGGGCAGAAGAAAGTAGCTGCCTGCTCACCTTCTGCTGGGTGGAGAGTTCTCGTGCCTGGAGGGCAGCGCCTTCCCGCTGGAGTTGTATTATTTGAGGTTTTGCAGAGGTGGTGGCAGGGAATGTTCTCCCTGTTTTCACTTCTAAAACGGAAATATGTCAGGACAGAGCACACCTGGGACATGGTAGCTTTTGAGGAGTGCCTGCGGTAAAGGTGTGTCACTTTTAGCCTGGTCCTCCAGGGAAAGGAGTCACGCCACGATGCTGCCCGTGTGTCTGCCAGCATAGAAGTCCTGTGATTCTTGAAACCATTGATACCAGCTATAGATGGGGCAAAGGCGTTGGGATCTCACAGGCATGAAATTTGTGTGAGTTTTGTGAGAAAGATGGATTGTAGTGGGAAATCAGTGGACAGATGTGCTCGGCAGTGAGGAAGGGGTGAATGGGTGCTGTGGGTGACTGAGCGCTGCTCAGAGAGGACAGCTCTGGGTTTGTCTGACGACAGCAGCTTGCCTTGCTCTTCCTTTGTGTGGGTGGGCAGGTCAGGCTCCAGGACCGTCAAACTGGCTCCAAATTAACACAGGCTCTCTGTGTACACTCCCACTCACGAGCAGTTCTGGGACATGAAGCCGTTGCGTTCGCTGTAATCCCTCTTCTGTCTTTCCAGTCCGTCGGAACATGCTGGACTTCCCCCAGCACGTCTCTCCTTGCAAAGACATCCGTGCGGCAAGCACCGAGGCTGACAAGAAGCTCTCGGAGTTTGATGTGGAGATGAGCATGAGGCAGGACGTGTACCAGAGGATTGTCTGGCTCCAGGTGTGTGCTTGGGAGGATGCTTTGTCAGTGATGCACCTGAGCAGGGCACTGAAACCTCCTGGAATTACAACTAACCCTTTTTCCTTGTCCCAGAACTTAGAAGTGAATTATACCGAGTCAGGCCTGGAACTGAATCGCTGTGTGATCATGGCGGAAAGGTCCAGCTGTTAGTGAGAACTGGGGAGGTGGGGTTTGAGGGCTCTGCCCCCCCTCAGGGCCTCGATTACGCCTTTGGTAAAATGGCTTTAGTAAACCCAGCCTGCCTCACTCGGGGAAGCAGCTGGGTAATGCCCTGAAAAGTGCTGTAATACGGCATAAAGGTGAGATGTTTAAAGCAATCCGATAGGAACTAATGCACCAAACCAAAGCCTTGTGGGGTATTCCCATCTGCTTCTGCGTCACTGGTGTTACAGTAACCCACAACTCCCACCAGGAACCAACTTTCTGCAACACCTGATCCTGCGGTTCCCTGTGCTCATGGGTTTTGTTTTACAGGAGAAAGCAGAGAGCGCTTCACTGAAGCCTGAAGCAAAGAGATATCTAGAGAGGCTGATCAAATTGGGTAAAAGAAACGGTCTCCATCTCCCTGAGGAAACGCAGGAGGTGAGATCACAGAGCTAAAGTAAGCGCACGTAGAGGAGGCCTTGCAGGGCTAACGGGACGGTGTAGCATTAGAGCAGAGGACTGAGGCTCAGACTCCTGAATTTTGCCCCTGATTCATGTGACCTTGGGCACATTGGGTGATGTCCCTGTGCCCCTTTTTTCTTTCCGTTGGAGGGGGATGACATTTACAAAGTGGGGTTGACGCTGGGAGTCAGGGGGCTCCCAAAAGCTGAGATTGCAGATGGTGCTGTGCGGGTCAGGAGTGGAAGTAGCACCCAGCCCCCACAAGCAAAGGGGCAGTCGGGGTGAGCTGCTCGGGGTCTCCTTCTCTTATCTTGTGCCAGTGCATGCAGCTCGAAGCTGGGTTAAAAATAGAAGCGAAGGTGAAATGAAATAAGGGTAGAGGAGGTTGTTGCTTAAACACCTGCAGCTCCTGAGCTGGCAGAAGACAGTTGGGACCTTGCTGAGGTGGCTACTTTCCTACCAGGTGTGATCAAAGGGAGCCTGTTCTAGACTGAGAGCTCAGCGCCTGCATGCAATTAATTCTGCAGCGTTGCATTTGAATAAAAGCCAAGGGCAGACCTCTGGGCAACTCGGCAGGCAGGCTGCTGGCTGGAGACGGTGAACGGTGCTGTTTGACTTCCCCCTTTCGACTGACTTTTCTCTGTTCATCTATATTTTAAAGAAAATCAAAGCTATTAAGAAAAAGCTGAGCGTCCTTTGCATAGACTTCAACAAGAACCTCAACGAAGACACCACCTACTTGCCCTTCTCAAAGGAGGAATTAGGTACGAAGCGCTCAGGCTTATTTCTCTGCCGGTGTGGCCCTGAGTGCCTGGATTCCTCTGGCCAAGGAGCAAGGGCCTGTTCCTGTGCTCAGTCCCAGAGCTGGTATTTCTGGAGAGGCCTGGGCTCTCCATCAGTCCTGTCTGCTCTTTTCTCAGGGGGGCTCCCTGAGGACTTCCTGAACTCCCTGGAAAAGACAGAGGATGGCAAGCTGAAAGTCACCTTGAAATACCCGCACTATTTCCCTCTCCTGAAGAAGTGCTACGTGCCCGAGACGAGGAGGAAGGTGGAGGAAATGTTCAATTCCAGGTGCAAAGAGGTAGGTGGGCCTTGCTGCTTGCCAGCAGGGCCAGACGAGATGCTGGGTCAGGTCCAGGCACTGAAGGGGTCTCGTCTAAGATTCTTTCCACACTGGGGCTCGTGCTTCCTTTCTTACCTGCATACCCCACTTCACTCTTTGTCTGACTCTACCTTGCAGGAAAATTGCATGATCCTCAAGGAGCTGGTGGACTTGCGTGCTCAGAAAGCCAGTCTCCTGGGCTTCAACACGCACGCGGACTTTGTGCTGGAGATGAACATGGCTAAAAGCAGCAAGACAGTGGCTACGTTCCTGGGTACGGCACTCGGCTGTGGAGAGGAAGAGCAGGGGCATGTGCTGGGCCGGCTGCGCTGCTCACAGCCCCAGGCACTAACCCCGCCTGCCTTGGTTTTCCTAGATGAGCTGGCCCAGAAGCTGAAACCCCTCGGGGAGAAGGAACGGGCTGTGATCCTGGACCTGAAAAAGAAAGAATGCGAGAAGCGTGGCCTGGAGTTTGACAACCGCATCAATGCCTGGGACATGCGCTATTACATGAATCAGGTGGAGGAGACCAAGTACAGCGTGGACCAGAATCTGCTGAAGGAGTACTTCCCCATGCAGGTGGTCACCACAGGCCTGCTGGCCATTTACCAGGAGCTGCTGGGGCTCACCTTCCATCTGGAAGAGAAGGCTCAGGTCTGGCACGAGGACGTCCAGCTCTACACGGTGAAGGACACCTCCTCCGGGGAGACCATCGGCAAATTCTACCTGGACCTGTACCCGCGGTGAGGCCTTGGGCAAGGTGAAGTGAGGGAAGAGGGCCAGGGCAGGGGGAGCAGAGCCTGCCATGTGCCTGGGGAAGAGGAGAGGCCGTCCCGCTCCCAGACGTGAGGCTGTGTGGAGGGAGCGGTGTGTAATTAGACAGGGCTGTCCCAGGAGCACGGGGTTGGTGTGAATCGCAGCGTCACCAGGAGCTTCTGCTCTGGCAGGACCACACTGCCCTGCACAGTGGCTCGTGCTGGCCATGGGGCAGGATCCGTGTAACAGTCTTCTCTTCTTGGCGTAGGGAAGGGAAGTACGGGCACGCAGCCTGCTTCGGCCTGCAGCCAGGCTGCCTCTTGCCGGACTCCAGCCGGCAGATCTCGGTGGCTGCCATGGTGGCCAACTTCACCAAGCCCACGCCGGATGCGCCTTCCCTGCTGCAGCACGATGAGGTGGAGACCTACTTCCACGAATTCGGGCATGTCATGCACCAGCTGTGCTCTCAGGTGAGGCCTGGCGGGGCTGGCAGAGGGTTGATTTGTTACCTTTCCCCTGTCGTGCTCCCCTGCGGGGCTAAATGACACCCCACTCTGAGCTTGCCGTGTCTCCTAGGCGGAGTTTGCCATGTTCAGTGGGACACACGTGGAGCGGGACTTTGTCGAGGCACCGTCTCAGATGCTGGAGAACTGGGTGTGGGAGAAGGAGCCGCTGCTGCGAATGTCCAGGCACTACAAAACTGGAAGCCCCATCCCTGATGAGCTGCTGGAGAAGCTCATTAAATCCCGGCAGGCAAACACGGGTGGGTCCCTGTGGAGGGAAGTGGGAGCCAGCGAAGAGAGGCAGGAGGGGAGTGAGGGCTGTGTGCTGTCCCCAGCGAGGGCAGAGCCTTGCCATGATGTCCCCTGTGTGTGGGGAGGGGAAGGGGACCCTTAGTGACCTGGCCAGGTAGAGGAAAGGCTTTGTCTTACTCCCTGTGGGGACTGAGGGGACTGGGGGGGAAGGAACCACATCTGGCTGCTGTTGATCTGGGAAGAGTGAGGGTGGCATGGCAGGAGGTACAGCAGGCTGGGTGGTGGCACAGTGAGAAGACGTGCCAGGGGAGGCAGGAATTATCTGCAGGCGGGGGATGCGGCTTAGGCCTGAGTGGGCGCTGCTGAACTGGGCTGGTCTGGGGAAGTGGGTCAGAAGTTGGGTGTGGGGAGAACTACGGGAGCTCCCCAGCCTGCCCTGCTGCAACCTGGCCTCGGAGACGCTCCTGCCTGCAGGCAGGAGCTCAGTTTGCCTCCTCTTTCTGGGAACAGGGCTCTTCAACTTGCGTCAGATCGTCCTGGCCAAGGTGGACCAGGCGCTGCACACCCAGACGAAGGCCGACCCCGTGGAGGTGTTTGCCCGGCTGTGTGAAGAGGTTCTGGGCGTCCCTGCCACCCCAGGTACCCAGGGGCTTGGGGGTCCCCCTCTTGCTGTCTCTCTACGCCTGGCCTGCAAGCTTGGCTCAGCAGGTTCTTTTCAAGGCTGGGGCTTCAGGCTGGCTCAATGGGGGCAGTTTCTCCAGGAAAAACAGGGCTGAAAACGTACAAAAATAATTGCAAAGTTCTTCCCTGTTTCCCCTGGGATTGTGAACAAACCGACCTAGTGCCTGCTCTGACACATTTACAGCACGGAGGGGTTTTCCCGTGCTGTGAGCGGTTCCAGCAGCCTTTCCCGTTGACGCCCCTTCCCTTCCTTTGCCGCAAAGGTACAAACATGCCCGCTACGTTTGGCCACTTGGCTGGAGGCTACGATGCCCAGTACTACGGCTACCTCTGGAGGGAAGTGTACTCCATGGATATGTTCCATAACCCCTTCCACC